CACACACACACACACACACACACACACACACACACACACACACACACACACCCCGTGTCCGCTCCCACCTAGCCTCCTCTCCGAGCCGCACGCCCCCTCCCACTCACCTGAGGAGGGCAGCTCTGACTTGCAGGATTTGCAGGTGGGACTGGGGAAGCAAACAGGAGAGGGAAAAGGCATCAAGAAGGCCGACCACCACAGGCATCATGGGAAACACGTGACAGGCCCCGAGGGCCTACTGACAGGGCGCCCATAGCGACGTTAGGCCCCACAGAGGAGAGCGCAAAGGCAGACCGCGGGGACACCAAACGCACGTTTATTAAGCCCAAGACAGAGACGTTGAGGGCGCGGGGAGACGAAGCCTGGAGCAGGAGACGCGGAGGTGATGCCAGGCGGGACTCGGGGGACTCGGGGACTCCGGGGAGCTGTGGGTGGGCTCCCGGATCCCCGGAGCAGAATGCACGCGTCCCAGCGCCTGGGGTGCAGACAGGCTCTTTGGGGGCTTGCCCTCGCCAAGGCCTGGGGAAGGGCGGTGGGGTGCAGTGGCTCCCGCCTCCAAGTGGGTGTAGCGGCTCATTCCGGGGAGCGCTCCCCGGCGCAAACCGGGGCTCCCCACCGCGTCCACCTGGTCCAGAGGCTCCCGCGCTCAGGCAGGGGGCAGCAGTGGAGGTGGCAGGAGATGGTCTTACACGCCCCCACCGCCAGGGGCTGGACAGACAGACAGACAAAACGCTTGGTTTGTAGCAATCAGCAAGGTCAGACTGGTAGCTTTCCATCCTATAAAAGTTGCTTCCGCCTCAGACATTGTCACCCCTGGGCCAGTACTGGGAGCCCGCCGCCTTCACCACGCTCTAGCGGTTAATCTCTCAGGGGCGCTGTCTGCAGGGACGTGTCTTCAATGTAGCCAGGCCCTAGGCCCACTTAAGACTGCTAGAAAGGGGACCCCCTGCCCCCTCCTACACATACCCCCTACTCTCCCATCTCACCGGCCTCTTTCTCCCACACCCAATATCCTGAACATTCGGGTACAAAAGGAATTCTATTTCCTGCTTAATCCAAAACTATGATTCAACTGAGACAGTCGATACATTTTTAAACTGCCCCTGCCCCCAGTTTCCCGGATCAGATAACTCTATGAACCCCAGCCTGCCCCCATGCCATCGCCAACACCCATCGTTGGTTTTAAGTCTGCTTTTAAGAATGTGAAGCAACGTGCATGGAATTTCGCATCAGATTCCCCCAAATATTGAGTACCTCAAGCGCCATTCCCCAAGCCCCCTCATCTCTGGGGATTTTTTATTTGTTTTGTTTTGGCTTTTCAGTTATAGGAACTGTATCAGAAATAGGAAGATTGAAACCTTCCTGGCTCTGGGGGTGGTTTTTTCCCTATCTCTCCCTGAAAAGGACACAATCCCACTAAACGCACAATTTCCCATCCTTAAAGGGTGCTCCCTCGAGGAGGGACAACCTGCCCCCTTCTTTTTTTTTTTAAATTTATTTTTTTAATCATTTTATTAGGGGCTCATACAACTCTTATCACAATCCATACATACATCCATTGTGTCAAGCACATTTGTACATTCATTGCCCTCATCATTCTCAAAACATTTGCTCTCCACTTAAGCCCCTGGCATCAGCTCCTCATTTTTTCCTCTCCCTCCCCGACCTTCCCCCTTATTCTTAACCTTTCCCGCACACCCTCCCCAGGAGCTCTGGGCTGCTAACCCTGAGGTCAGCAGTTAGAAGCCACCAGCCGCTCCTCTGGAGAAAGATGAGGCCATTTGGGAAACTCACTAGGAGACTTTGACTCTGTCCTATAGGGTCGCTGTAAACAGAAAGGACTTGGCGGCAGTGAGTTTGGGGTTAGTTTGGATTGTATATCCCCCACTTTCCAGCCACCCTGCTTTATACTGCCCACCTCGCTCCTCCACCTGACCCTTTCCTCCCCCGACTCAGGCCTCTTATATCCCACCTCTCCACCTCCCTTTCACCTTTACCCTCCTCCTCACTGGCCCCACCTTATGTACCCTATGCCCACCTATAGTACCCACCTCTTCCTCTTCCCTGGCCCCTCTCCTGCCATCAGCATTTGTCCTCCTCCCTCATACCTGGTAGCTGGTGGCATCATGGTTACTGGTTGGGCTGCACTCTGCTAAGTCAACAGTTCAAAGCCCCCTGCCCCTCCTCAAAAGAAAGATGGGCCTTCCTACTCCTGGAAAGCGTTCCAGTCTCAGAAATCCCCAGGGGCCGGGAGTTTGGATGTTTTTGGTTTTCTTGTGCTTGCACCCTACCCTTCTCCCCCTTCCAATCCTTCTCCCCTCTATTGGGCCCTACACCCTTCCCACAACCTTAAACCTCTTCGTCCCCCTCCAGCCTCAGCCCCTCCCTCCCTTGTCTTTCTCCCCCTCCCCCTGTCCCTTCCTATTTCTCATGCACCCTCCATCCTCAGCCTCCTCACACCCCTTCCTCCCACTTCTCCCACTTCAGTTCTTTAAAGACCCAGTGTTATAAATAAATACATAGACCTGTGTTCTGTGCCCCCTCGGCTATTTGGACGCGGTTATTCGAGAGCTCGTCTATCTGTCTGCCTTTGTCTTGCCCTGCCTCTCACTCTCTGTGTCCGTGATCTGTCCAGATGAACAGTCAGGTGTAGACAGCCGCCCATCTTTTCAAGTCTCCTTTTCCCAAACGGGCCCCTCATCTTGTGCACCGGTGGTGGCTTTCTCCTTTGGGGAATCAATTCATCCTGACTGTAGCCCCAAACCAAAACTCACTGCCGTTTGAGAGCCGATTGCGCAGTGACCCTGTAGGAGAGACAGGGTGGAGCTGCCCCTGAGGGTGGCCGAGCCTGCAACTCTTCACAAAAGTAGAAGCCTCTTCTTTCACCCTCCCGCAAGCAGCTGATGCTTTCTAAGGCCGACCTTCCATTAGCAGCGCCCCACTAACCACGACGCCCCCAGGGCTCGTCAGCCTTACTTTCTGGGCTCCTGGGATTGTCTCTGGGCAGCTCTGTGACTCTGTGGTACATTTCACAGCTCTCCACAGTTGAACATCTTTGAGCTACCGGCTTCCCGCCTCCCACCGAATTCTCCCGTGTGCCTCCGGTACACAGGCAGAGTCCCGTTTCCCAGGTACACCGAATGCAATGCCCACTGTTATCACACACACACACACACACACACACACACACACACACACACACACACACACACCCCGTGTCCGCTCCCACCTAGCCTCCTCTCCGAGCCGCACGCCCCCTCCCACTCACCTGAGGAGGGCAGCTCTGACTTGCAGGATTTGCAGGTGGGACTGGGGAAGCAAACAGGAGAGGGAAAAGGCATCAAGAAGGCCGACCACCACAGGCATCATGGGAAACACGTGACAGGCCCCGAGGGCCTACTGACAGGGAAGCACCCCTCCACCAACACCTCCTGCTTCTCCACTCCCCGCACCCCCCTGGCCCGCCCCATGGCTGCCAGACCTCTCAGACCTGGAGTCCGATTTCCTGCACTTCACCTTCTTGCCTGTGAGGCGACAAGAACAAAGGGGACTGGGCATGAGGATCTGCACAAAAAGTCAATAGGGACAGAGCCCACGGTGAAGGTGAAGGTGAAGGTGACGTCTGAGGCAGGGGCACAGCTCAGACAGGGAGCACTTACTGAGGATGATGATGATGCCCAGCACGAACAAGATGGTAGCCAGAGTCATGCCCACAGTCTGCACGGTGTTGTAGTCTGGGGAAGACAAGGCCCGTAAGTCATCAAGGCACGGAGGGGTAGGTAGCTCAGCCCCGCCCCGAGCCTCAATCCCGACCTCCACGTTGGCCAGCCACATGCCCACGTGCCCAGGGATGCTGCAAGCCGTGCCGGGGGCTCCTCTCTGGTTTGCTCCGTGCTCTGCCTGCTCTGGTCATTTGCTCAAAACACACACACCAAACCGCTCAGTCATCGAGTCCATACCAGCTCATAGTGACTCTATTAGACAGGGTAGAATTGCCTGTCTTGTGCGTTTCTGAGACTACAACTCTTTACTGGAGTAGAAAGTCCCATCCTTCTCCTGCAGAGCTGGTTGGTGGTTTCGAACTGCTAACCTTGGGGATCGCAGCCCAACGCTTAACCACTAAGCCATCAGGGTTCCAGCCATTTGCTAGTTTGGTTTTTGAGTCTCTCCCTCTCTGGCCATGGTCTGTCGACCATGGTGTCCCACTGGGCCTATTGGATCAGTCTTCTCTTTGACTGTTCCACCCGACCTCACCCCTACGTGCACCCACCCCCCATGAAGTCACAGGGACCCTGTGAGCACCTGAGTCAGGGCAGGGCTCTCCCCAACTCAGAGCTATTCCCTGACCCCCATCCCACTCAAGGAAAAAGCAAGACGTGTCCCCCATGGCCCATGGGCCCTCCGTCATCTAGTCCCTGTTCCTTGTTAGACTGGTCCATGGCCCACTCACCCACGGTCCCCTACTCCAGCCACACACCGGCCCCCTGGCAATTCCTACAGCCTATCCGGCAGGGTCCTACCTTAGGTCCTACCTATTGTTCCCTTCTGCCTGAAAGCTGGTCCACCTCCTGGCTCCCTCCCTTACCAGTTTCTGGGTTTTATTTCAATATCTGCCCATGGCCTTCCCTGGCTGGCTCTGTTAGAATTTCATATGCTCTCCTCAACTCAGTCTAATTCCATGCCCTCTATCTGCCTTCACAAGGATGCTTTTTCTCTAAGATACCACACATGGTTTCGTATTTCTTTGCTTGAATGCCCGCCTCTCTCCCAGGCGCTCCAGTGGCATTGTGGCTACCCATTGGGCTGCTAATCACAAGGCCAGCAGTTCAAAACCGTGAGCCCCTCCGAGGGAGAAAGGCAGGGCTTTCTACTCGCAGACACCCCCAGGGCAGGTCTACCCGGTGTTAGAGGGCCACTACGAGTCAGCATCACTCAATATCAGGGCAGTTGGGTTTGCGTTTCGTCTCTCTCTCCCATTGAATGTGAGGGCAGGGATGTTTGTCTTGTTTCCGGGGCGGCTCTGGTGCCTGACAGCTGCTCAGGACGTATTTGCTGGGATGCGCCTGTGCGGAGCATCCCCTCAGTGCCAGCAAGGGGCCAGGCCACTGTCCTCAAAGAGCTGACTATCACATTACTGTAGGAGCCTTGCTGACCCTGTGGTTCTGCACCAACCACCAACTCGGCAGTTAGAAGCCGCCAGCCCCCCCAAGGGAGAAAGAGGAGACTTTCTACCCCCATCAAGAGTTGGAGTATCTGACACCCACAGGGGCCCTTCTGCCTTGTCCTAGAACAGTGGTTCTCCACCTTCCTCGCGCCGCGCCCCTTTCATACAGTTCCTCGTGTGGTGGTGAACCGCCCCCCAACCATAACATTCTTTTCGTTGCTACTTCATCACTGCCATTTTGCGGCTGTTATGAATTGGGCGACCCCCGGGAAAGGGTCATTCGAGCCCCAAAGGGGTCTCGACCCACAGGTTGGGAACCGCTGTCCTAGAGGGTCACTGTGAGTTGAACCAACTCAGTGGCAGTGAGTTTGGGTTTGGGGGTCTTGTAAAGCATTAAAAAAGTACACAGACACACACATGCGCGCGCATGCACACACAGTCCCAAGTCATGTGACCAAGGCTGGGCGCGGGTGTGGCTCTAGCCAGGGTCATGAGGAAGGGCCAGTCTGAAGGGCGAGAAGTCCAAGTTTGCTCTGAAGCCTGAGGGGGTGACCGTCCTAGTCCTGGGGGGTGCAGAGTTCACACGATTGGATCATCATTCCCCCTGTTGCTCAGAGGACAGGGGAACTGCCCCTGTGGGTTTCTGAGACAGCAGCTCCTTAAGGGAGTAAAAGGTCTCCTCTTTGTCGTGTGGACCAGCTGGTGGTTTGGAACTTCTGATCTTGCTGTTGGCAGCCTGATGGGTAAGCGGCACGCCACCACACCTCTGGGGAGAGCCGAGAGAAGAGGGTCCCTGGCAGAGCAATGGCTGGTATCAAGGTCTTGAGGTGAGCAAGAGGGGGCAGGATGGAGGAGCAAGGACAGAGAGAGGAGGGGGAGCAGGGGCTAGATCTGCCTGACTCCGGGGTCTGCCGTCTTTGAGCTTTATCAGTGGGATGACATCTTCCAGGTGCATCGTTCCCACAACCCTTATGAAAACAACAACATAAAATGTAGCACCCTCTCACTCGATCTTCCGTATGACCCATTTAAATGCGGTCTCGTTTTTAATCTTTTCCACTTACCAATCGTTCGTTTGACTTTGTAATTCTTGTGAGTTAGTTTGTTTTTCGATGTGTTTCTGTCTATGAAATCCAGGCTGGGTAAATCTTCAGAGACGGTACCTGGATTCAGGGTTCCTTGGGGGTATGGCAGGGAAAGTTGGGGGGAAATGGGGAGCTAAAGATGAGTCCCAGGACGAAGGGCATGTTCTGAAAGTGATTGTGGGGATGACCGTGCAGCTCCTCTTGATGTGAGCGAGGGACTAGTGGGGTGTGGGCATTGTGTGCCCTGAAAAGTGCTGGCCGAAAGACGACAAGAGCCTAGTGCTGTCTAGTCAGGCCCCACTCGTTCACTCCAGAGCGAGGCTGCTCCACAGGATTTTCTTGACTGTCATGCCGTGCAAACAAATCACCAGGCCTTTCTGTGGCTGCACCCCCAGGCGGGTGCCAACTGCTCGCCTTTAAGTTACTCCGTGTCGGTGCTAGTTACTGGCCAGTTGCGTTCAACGCCTGGTGGTTCATGTAAGTCAAGCACCCGTCACTTGGGTCACCCCTCCTAGGCAGGAACTGCGATCATCCCTTGTTGACAGAAGGCACAGAGAGGTGAGGGTGCTTGCCCAAGGGGACCCAGCTAGGAAGAGAATCGGCCAGTATGCACACCCCAGGAGCTAGCAGGGCTACAGAGTCCATGCTTCCAAGCCCTGCCCTCACTTGCTTCTTCGAAGAAGGCAAAGCACCAACCCAGAGTGAGACCTGAGGGGGCTTGGTTGTGGGATTCGCGACTTCACCCCCAACTGCTGCTGCCCTCCCCAAGGCCAGTCATTGTGAACAGCACCAGGGACCGAGCAAGCACTATATGGCTGCAGTCTAAGCCAACCACCAGTGGCCACCCCTCCATCCATCCCAGAGCTCCCCCAGAGCACGCTCACACGGAGCCCAACACTCACCATAGTAAAATGGGTCAGGTTCCTGAGGCGCTGTGGGAAGAAAGGCAGAGAAAGAGAGAGGGCACATAGTTCATCATGGGGGCTCCTAATGTTTTTAGCATGACACAAAGGCTGCATGCTAGCTCCTACTTGATCGGTGTCCAACCTACCCAACCGTACCCAGCAGTCCTGATCTCAGGGCTCTGTGGAGGTCTGCTGCAAGCTATGATCCCACTCCCATCCTCCCTTTTGCTTATGGTTCCAGGGCCAATGCACAGAACCCACTTGCCACTGGTGAGGGGGCTGCCAAATGCATCACTAAGCTCCCCTCACCGCAGCCCTCCCACCCCCATCATTCCTCCAACTCTTCAGTCCCCTGACAGCTCCTGGGGGCAAGCCCTGCAACTGTGGCTCTCCTCACTCGCCCCTCGGGTCGATTTCCATACAGGGACCTCCGCTGGTCCAGCCCATCAAAGCTGGAGCCTGTGTAAGGCGGAGACCTATCAGAGATGGAAGACGCAAGTCTTTCCCATTAAGAGCGAGCGGTGGAAAGGTAGAGAGACTGCACCAGTCAACGGTGGACAACCTGGGACACCCAGGAAAACAAAGCCATGCCCCAGGCTCCCGTCTCTCACAGGAGTCGCTGCAGGGGACTTACTTCTAAGCCATTGCTGAGTTTGAGATATTAAAAATCCATTTCATAATAGCTTTCCCGGGCACCTGAGGATGTATGTAACCCAACCAACCAAAGTGTGTCCATCCATCGCCCCTGTTTCGGCAAGGCCAACATGGGGATAAAGTGCACGTGTATGTGTGTGTGGAGGGACACCTGTGCATGCCCCACCTCCCAGCTCCAAATCTTCTTTTTCTTCAAGGCAGCTCATGATATTCTTGCCATTGAAGAAACCCATTCCCCTAGCTCTTTAATGCCTTTGCTCGCTCCTAGTAACCTTCTGTCTGGTCTAGGGCAGAGTTTTGGAAAGTGTGGGAGGTGTGCCACCTGGGGAGGAGTGTCAGGTGTCATCATCAGTGTCCTTTCCCCTTCCAGGCCTCGGGAAGGTTGGGCGGAGCCACAGGATGGATTCTGGCCCATGAACAGTGAGTAAAATGCCGCGGCCGTGAAAGATCTATAGCAGATCTTGTGCCCTTGGCCTAGTGACCAGAATGTTCAAGACGGTGCCTGTTCCCATTTCTTTTGGTGTGTGGAGACCCTGAGCCGACCTGAGATGGGCACAGAGTGTGGGTGAGAAAGTAACTTTGGTCGAGAGCTTGGGTGCTTTTTGTCACGGCAGCATGGCCTACCCTAAACTGACGGATCCAGGTGGTACATGGACAAGACTGAACAGCACTGACACAACAATGAGGCTGGTCCTTTTCAGTTCCCTGTCCAGCCTTCAAAGAAACAGTTTTAGCTTGATGTTCCTTCTGCAACACCTTTGAACCGTGTTAAATTCTGCCTCCACCCAAAAGCAAATGGGCAGAGCCTTTGGGAAGCAAAACGTCCCTGGGGGAAATTCCTTTCTCTTTTCATCCCATTTCCCCAGAGGAGCGCCCAAGCCCCCTGGCCTATCGGTAGAATTTTGTGACATCTTTTGGTTTCCCTCCTTCTGGTCTTTAATTGCTCTCACTGGTGTTTGATGGCACTGACTTCCTGCCAGGCCGTGTTTAGGGTGTTCACAGATAGTGGCACACTGAATCTTCATGGGAACTCTGATGTAGGTCTTCATGGGCACTTGTGGGGGAAGTCAGATACTTGCTGCCAGACTGCTGTCTCATCCCTCCACAGGGGTGGGCCTGCTCCCTGCCTCTGGGGACAATGGACAGGCTCCTGTAGGCAGAGTTTTCATCCTACTGATAATGTTCCTATGAAGACCCAGAGACCACCCTCTCATGGCTGTGTAACCTATAGTGCAGCCCCTTCCTGTGACGTATGTCTCTACCTGTAATTAGTGGGCTGGCTTGCCCCCAAAAGGTATGTAGGTGTGAGCCAGCAATATAGATCTCTCTCTCTGACTCTGAGCTCCTTGCTGCTCACTCCCTGGTCACTCCCCTCTCCCTTGTTCCCTTACCTTCCTTCCCTTCCCCCTCTCTCCACGTGGACCACCATGCTGGGCTGAGGTGAGCAATGGTACTATGTAACATGCCTGACTGTATTATTGCATTATCTCTCATGCTCTCAATGACTCTAATATAATGCTTATATATCTCAACCGTACAATTGTGCATTACTGAACCCGAGTAGTAGCATAAGTAGTATCAGCGGGTGGGGGCTGGCCCCCCACCCTCCCCCAGTGTCTTTATTTTTTAATTTAATACTACAGGCACTCTCTGATGCACTTGTCCCTGCCATCCCCACTTCACAAAGGAGGTTCACCTGGGCCCTGGGAAGGTGACATCACTGTCGCTTGCTCAAGGTTGATTTCATACTTGCCTTCAAACACAGGCCCCAGATAGTGCTTTTCCATTGATGGCAGGGATCAGAAAGAATGCGAATCATGTTTGCATAGTGTTTGCCCCTTTGAGGGGAAAATGGTAAGTGAAGAGTAGTGTGGGGAACCTTTCTAACCAACCAATCCAGCTCACTGTGAGTCGATTCTGACTCACAGCAACCCTATAGGACAGGGTAGAACTGCTCCCGCGGGTGCCCGAGACTGTAACTCTTGCTGGGAGTAGAAAGCCTCATCTTTCTCCTACAGAGAGGCTGGGGGTTTAGAGCTGCTGACCTTGCCGTTAGCAGCCCACTGCATAACCCACCAGGGCTCCTTGGGGAACGTTTGGATAGAATCAAAGTCAAGAAGGGGTTACTCAAGAGCATCCAGGGGGGAAAACACTTGTGTGAGTTTCTCTCTTAGCACCCACCACCAGGTGATGAGCAATTTTGACTCAGCTCTGCATCGGTCCTAGCGTTTAAGACAGACTCCCAAAGACATATTCTGGAAGGAAGACGTGAACGGATTGGTGAATGTGAGCCCCCCCCCCCCTCGACTTAAGGGGCCATTGCATTATCTTGCTTTTGTCTCTTGTGTTTCCACACGCTCTCCTTTCCCCAAAGTCCTCAGGAATCCATTGGGTCAGCAGCCCCTGTTCCAGAACCCTCTCTGGTTGCTCCCTGAGTAGTTGGAGCACTGTGCCAAAGTTCTCCTCTGGCCCAGGCAGTCTTGGTCCCAGGGTGAAGCTAAGCTAAGGGTGGAGCTGGGAGGCAGACAGAAGATGTTCTACTCTTGGCCAGTTGCCAAGGAGATACTGGAAAAGAGATGGTTACTATGGCAACTGGGGCATCCTAGGAAGTGAAGAGAGGTGATGGGCTGTACACCTGCGAGCCTGGGGTGGGGTCTGTGTGAGACTTGGGGCCTGGGTCCAACCGCAAGCCCCTCTCTCTTCCTTCTGCACCTGCCATTGGTACCCCTGCAGAGCTGGCTTTTGGCCAAACTGAGGGTTCCTCTCCAGGATAGGGATCCAGACCCCCGATGGTCACAGGATCCTTTTTCTGGTGGTAAGCCAACCTCCAAATCTGTCTCTCAAACCCTGGCAGGACCCAGAAGCCTGCAGGTCCCTGCCCCCCACCCTCGGTAACAATTCATTAATCAATTTCCTTAAGTGCCTTCCCAGAGCATAACAAGCTCCAGGCCCCCACCCTCGCCAGTCTGCTTCCTGAGATCTGATGCCCCCTGCCCCTCATGCGGTGAGTGGGTGAGAACGAGGTAGGGGTACAGAGGCATCTGTTCTTCCAACTCTGTCTGCTGCCATCGATCTGCTAACCGCCACCTCCCCAGAAGAAGTCCTGGGCTCCTGCCAGGCCTGCTGGCTCAGCCCTGCCCCCTCTCCCCAGGGTGGCTTCCAACCTCTGCAGCCACCACCCCCCCCACCCCCCCACCCCCCACCCCGCCCTGCTTCTGATTCTGCAGATATGGCTCTGTGTGCAGCAGCCCCCACTGCCGGGAAAAGGGACAGGGCCAGAGAGGTGGGGAATCAGGGTTCCCTACATGCCCAGGGGCCCCTGAGCACACCCGGACCCATCCCCCTGATCTAGTAAGCTGCCCATGCCCTTGGTCCCCTCGCCCCCATTAAAACATTCCTGCTCAGCTCTTTTGCAGAATGAGGTTCAGGAAAAGAGACTGTTGGGGCTAACAGTGCCTAACTGGGTTAATGAGTGTGAAATGGGAAGGCGAGTGCAGCGAGGTGGGGGTGGGGGCGGCCCTGTGCGCACCTCCTCAACCTGGCAACCTCCTGGATGCAGGCTGGGCAGGAGGACCCCACTGCCCCATGCCCACCCACGGAGTTCACTGCAGTGGCTGCGGCCCCGCCCAAGGCTGCCTCCCCCTCCCCTTTCCTCCTGGTAGGTCTGCGCTCTCTCTCCCGCTCTCCATTCTTGCCCCTACCCCCAAATCCCCCCTTCTCTTTCTCTAATCGTGTGCGTGTGTGTGCGCGCGCGCTTCTGTCTTGCCTCTTGCCTGAATCTTCAACTCCCCTATCTAGTTCTCTTCTCTGAGTCTGTCTCTCTCAATCTCTCTGTTCCATCTCTCGGTATCTCTGTCTCTTGCCTGCTCTCTCTGCCACCTCCTCTCTCCAACTCCCGGGCTTCCCCTCCTTCCCTCCGAACCTATCCAGTATGTCAAGTAACTAACCGGCCCTAGGACCCTGCGCTGCTGAGAAGAGGGCTGTAGCCCCTCCCCCTCCCCGCAAGAACACCTGATCCATGCGAACCCCTTTGCCTCAGGTCCGCTGCGACCCTCCCAGCCCTCCCAGCACCCGGCATCCCCGCTGCTAGCGCCACAGGGCTGGACCAGCCACCCAGTTACCATAGCAACCAGTCTGAGTTATCCCTCTCCCGGGGCCGCCACTCTGCGACCGCGGTCTCCTGCCTGGACAGAGGTGTCCTTGAGACCCGGAGGGGTTGCCAGAGGGTGGTGTGAGGGGGGCCTCCGCCCAGGAAGGAGTGGGCACCCCCTCCCCATGCCTCTCTTTCCGGTCCTGGAATGCCCCCACACCCTGCCTCCTAGCCCTGCAGCCCCCTGGGGTGTCCTCCCCAGGCGCAGCTCACCCGTTGTGGGGGCCTGGGTTGGGGTCGCCATGCTGGGCCGGAGCAGGGGGCTGCAGCAGGTCTATGCAGTGAAGGTGCGGTTGCAGCAGCTGGAAGCGGGACGGACTGAGGGGGGGT